CGTTGTTGGCTATTTTGTACTACTTTAAACTCTCATCGTGTATTCTATAAACTCCTTAGAATGAATCACTAAAGCTTATTGTTCTAACTATGTACTCACAATACTCGTTTTGAGTTCGGATTTGTTAACTGAGCTAGGAAAAGTCAAAGAGATAATGTATCCGGGTTATTGTGACTGATTCTGAGCCATGTTACGCAACATCTCGAAATATTGATTACTATTGCTGTAGGGACCCAAACTAGGTACTCTGCAGATGTAGTTGTCAATAACCTCATACATTAATATATCCTCGTGATTTGGAAGTCTCTAACCTTCTCCAATGTATCACTACATTTTTCAGGTAATTGGTGGTCGGGTATATTTTATGCATTTTCCAAGCATCTTACTTGATAAATTATTACTACCTAATCAATCAATTTGCAAACTTTATCTAGTGCTTTATGCGGAAACCTAGCATTGTTCACTCATCGATTACAATATACATGAGCAATGCTTGGAATACGAATGTCCTCTATGCCTAATAGCCATAATTCATTATCTGAAAAGTAGAATAAATAATACTGGTATTAAAATCTATGATAGCTACTCAATAAAATAGGTTTTATATCCAATAAAACAACACTTATACCCAGCATTATCATGATGACCATCATGATAAGGTATTATAAACAATTTAAGAATATCCATTAGAAGGTCACTTAGTCTCCAGTGAATTAAAACTGTACTCACCATATGGTATAGGAGTAGGTTGGAAGGAAGCTAGGGGCGACCAGACCATAACATGACACAAATCCATGAAGTCACTGACAAGTGGACTGATAGGTGTAGACTAACTGTTTGGGATCCGCGAAACGATAGCAACCGATGGTGATAGATCTTGAATGACATGGCTCAAAATCGTTTGCAATGGTGCAGGTGCATCTACTCTTTGTGTCCTCCGAAATTCTAATCTTCTGAATTCTTTATGTCCCTTTTTTTCCTCTTTCGAAATTTATTTCATTGGATTATACTCTTTAAATAACAAGTTCAAACCCTAATGTTTGCGATTACTGTTTATACTTTTACTACCTCTTCTACCATTATGGGATTTGAATCGACAATTGTATCTGTGTGGTAATATGGTATAGCAACTCGAATTGATGTACGTACGTACGAAGTTCTACATTGTTGATAACTGACTGACCTATCATATCAAGCAATACTGAATTATTGTTTTACCCTTGAAGTACTTTCAATTAGTATTTTCCTAATTATCTGTAATTACTTTTCATTTGAACAACAATTCATCCATATTTCATAGTATTATACAACATATTACTGATATTCTATTCATCGTAAATAAGTTCATTATAAACAAACGAAAGAAATAGATTATACTCGTTATTGATGTTATATATATATATATGACAAATTGTCTCTTGTGTTTACCATTCATTACTTATTATATTGATGTTTTAATGAAATACCACTGTATACATATACATATATAGCTTGTGTATAACTGAATTTGTCGCCTTGTTCACTGTCAAATTACCAGTTATTGGAAATCTATACATGATTATAATTCATTGGATACTATTCACTTGATTACTTTATTATTATTATTATTATTTTCTTTTTATACAACTTAATCAATATCTCTAACTGTATATATGCCTATTTAGCCTTAGCAACAAATATCATGTTAACATTGTAGAAAGTACATATTGTAAAAAGGTAATAATAACCTCATTTCCAATCATATAAATACATTTAATCATTAATCTTTAGGTAAATATCAAGAAGATTAAATTGCAATTAGTTTATTATTTACATAAATAAAGAGGATCAATACACAATAAAATAATGAATTAACATCAGAGAGAGGTTATGTGAAGATTGTAATCATTGAATTCATAAGTCAATTGAAGGTAGACCATCGCGGACCCATAAATGCTCTGATACGGCTGAAAGTAGGGAGAGTCAACTCTCCTTCTCGAAATGCTCTCACATGGCCATGTGCATACAACCACTGTCAGGGAAGTCCTACTCACTGCCGTCTTGTGGCGGGCGTGTTCTTTACGAAATTGAAGGGAAGAAAAGTGGATATCTGGCGTTTTAAACGGGTTGGTGGATACGAAGGACCCGCCTAGGGGGAGATGGAAAACCCTCATTCAAAACCAATGGTGCTCATGGGCTCCAAGATCCCGAGGGAACAATCGTTGGTCACCGGCTACCATGGGACTGCATTTCCGGACGTTGCTCCACTGCCCTATGGATCAAACCTTTAAGCTGAAGGCTCCATTTGTGGTTCTCTAAGAAAACCACTTGTTTCGGTTTCGGCACCCGAGTAGTATCACAGCCTACACACAAATCAAACGACTTGTGTGGCATATATGTATTTGGTGTCCCTTTGAACTAATATTTATGTGTTCACATAAATAAATTATATCACGGGATGCATAAATGTTTATGTGTTTAAATAAATAAAATAAAATAGGACCATCATGGAAAACCTGGAAGTACTGAACAGCTGTTTTATTCTAACAGTGCGTATCCACGATCCCGGCCCGCAAGATTCGAATCCAGGACATATCATTCTCGAACGAGAACGCTTGAAATTTAATTCAATGAGCAGTGGTTTGAACAGTTGATGGGAGTAAAATTGGATAGAAACTTTCAATATGAATGAATTATGATGAGTAGATTGTAATTAAATGATAATCGTAATGAAATCCAAATATATTATGATTAGATAATTACAAAACTATATTGAAAAGTAGAATTAATATTACCATTAGGTGATCGTCGATCTTTGTCACAAATTGATATGTTCTAATTGTACCATTCGTTTCAGTACCACATAGTTCTCAATTCAAATAGAGACAGAGTCTTGTGTGTACAGCTATCCGGTTCTTTTTAATTTTTAATGGGCCCCTAATTAACATTGAATTATAATGAGTACAACCTACAAATTGAACTAAAATTTCCACAGTTCTGTCCGACTAAAATTGATAAATATTTCATGTTTACTTTCTTGAAATGTAATCTCTAAGGAAGATTAAAAGTCTGAAAATGCACTACTTCACTGGTCAAAGCTTCATCAGTTATGTATGTGTGTGTGTGTGTCGATGTTCATCTGTAATGTTAAGTACTTGAAGGGATGCTTGCGATTTTTATTTTAATGTTGACAGTATGACCTGGCTCAATAAGTAGGTATTTGTGTACAAATTAGAATTGTTTTGATTTCTTTTGACTTGATCACGTTCCTTTGTCTATGTTTTCTTGTTTGGCCAGATGAATGAACAAATCGTTGGTACTTTATCAATTGTATTCTTAATTTGATTTACTATTTCCTTTAGGGAAATAAAACTATAATTGAATGGATTGATTCAATATCTATTTTGGGTATTAATAAATTGATATGTTTGCTTTACAATCTTTCTAACAATCTAATAAGCGCGCAGTAAGCAAATTTTTGTTTCGACTCTCAATGGGCATAGGCCGCCGACCAGCATTCTCCAACCCACTCTGTCCTCCGCCTTTCTTTCTAGTTCTATCCAATTTTTTTTCATTCTTCTCATGTCTGTCTCTATTTCTCGGTGTTATGTGTTCTTTGGTCTTCCTGTTTTCCATGTGAGGGCTTGTCTTGTGACACAGTTGGGTGTTTTCCTCAATATGTGTCTTATCCACTTCCAGTGCTTCTTCTTGATTTCTACCTCCACTGGGATCCGGTTTGTTCTCTCCCACAGTAGGTTGTTGCTGATGGTGTCTGACCAAAGGATCCGAAGTATTTTGCGTAGACAGCTGTTAATAAACACTTGTTTTTTTGGATGATAGCTTTCGTAGTTCTCCAGGTTTCCGCCCCATACAATAGAACTGTCTTGACATTTGTATTGAAAATTCTGTCCTTGGTTTCGACTTGTAAGCTACTGATCAAATGTGATTTTATTAAAATTTGGTGGTATCTGATTTATTGTAGGACTGTATTCATATATTCACTGTAAATATAAAATCATGGTTAGGTTACGTATTTGTACCTACAGTTTTGATTGATATAACTCATACGTATGTCCTCAACGCTTGTCACATATAGCGTTTAGTAGTCCAACTTACCATTCTGATGATTACACCTTTCAAAGGAATTTGCTTATTGGACATATACATGTTTGTTTTATCGATATGATGTTCATTGCATGTTGACCAGGAATTATATCATGTGCAACTCGATAATTCAAACGTTTGCTCATTCGTTGTAAAACCACTTCATCTATATTTTATTTGATCAACGGAGTTATATATCTATCCCTATACATACGCTAAATTCGGTTAACGTTGTTTGATTTCAGAATTGATTTGCATCACTCATATCTTACACATTTGTCGTACAGCATACAATACAGGTAAACTTCGTGTAATAAATACATCGGAGAGGTTCATTAATCTCATAGAGTTTCATAGGTTTATGACGTCTGAGGAACTGTTTATACATCTGACTGGAGTTTTTAATAAAGCTAGAGATTGTATAGCAGGGTGTCCAGAAAACATGTTTTGTTCTATATGGATCCTTTCGGCTGAATACACTTATACCATATTATTAATAATTGTACCGAGAATCAAATCCTGTGCCGTACGTTTCAAATAACAAAACGTCATCCACTGGAGTGCTGATCTTGGCTGAAGTCCTGGAGATCCCTCAATCTTTGGTTGGTAAATTTGACTTTCCAAATGACGTCAAAATCCAGCTATTACTAATAAAAAATATATTCATTCTCTTCTATTTCTATGAAAAATTGTACACATCTAACTATGCATTGGCTTAAATCCTTTCCCGTCTAGCTTTAGCATAACGGAATTTATTTTATTGGATGTGTAGGATCAATGTAAATGGCCGCCAATATGCTTCTTACATGAATTTTTAAAGTAACTCGTTTATAATTCTTTGGTTCCGTTTTTCTAATCAATCGTACAGATGATAGTTATTTATTCACCAATGTTCAATATACGTATTTTTATTTCAGGGTAATGGATCAGAAGCAAGTCATATTGCCAATACACTTAGTACAAAATTAAATCAATTATCTAGATTATGTAAAGATTTATCATTACGTGATCATAATGGTGGCGGCGTTGGTGATCAACAGCATAACACATGTAATCCATTATTTCGTTTGGCTAGAACACTTGAAGGCAAACTAGTTCAGGCTCAACGTTGGCTAGCTGATCCTCGTGGTCCATTACGTCATGTTGGCTTAGAAGCATGTCGTTCATTAGCTCAAGGTGCAAGAAGTATTATAATGTCATCTGATAGTAATGATGTTTCTGCCAATAGCAATAAAATAAGTGCTAACAGTAGTCCGTCTGAAGACAAGGGAACCAATGATGCTTGTTTAGAATCATGTGAACATGTCGAGAGAGTTTCTGACAAACTTTTTGCAATATCTTCTCAACCATTAAGTAAGCACCATTACTATTATTTCGCTCTCTTCTATATATGTTAGTCCAATGTACAAAATGTTGATCATATGTATACAAATTCCACACTTGTTTTCAGCATGCAAAGTAAATGCAGTGAATTCGAATCTTTTGAATAATCTCAGTTATATATATGTTTTTTTTGTGGAGGAGTATCATAGTGGTGCAGTTATTCGATATTAAACTACTAAGTCGCAAGTTCAAGTCCTACTCCTCCATTTTCGCTTCGGGCAGCCATGTATCATCTCTTGACTATCCTACGAAAAGTGTAACCGAAAACCAAGTACACGAATATATACTTTTGAAATAAGTAATAAAATGTATGTCTCTTACTCCAGAACCGTGCTGTTTTTGTCAACATCACCAGGAAATCAAAAATAGACATGTACATCAAGAGTCATTGAAGTTCTCCCTTGATACAAACATATACAAATGACTTAATAGGTATTATCGAGATACCATGTAATAAACACAAATTAAATATCAATATAGGGTTATGGAGATTGTTACGTTTTTGATTGAGATCATAAATCGATTGATATTAGACCACTATTGATTAAAGTCAAACATGAATACCGTTAGATGCAACTCAGTTTTCTGGAGTTTAGGTATTCGCGTACAAATCAAAGGTTTCTAAGTTCGATTACCGTAATTAAGATCATGAATGTACAGATCAATCAATTCATGATCTCAAACAAATTAAAATCATGTAAAAAATGAATGGCATTATTAATTAGCAAAATTTGGTAAGAATAATAATAATAAGAAAATATGTACGTGGGTATTATTCATATGTAAATACCACAAAACAGTTGATCTAATTAATCACTATGTAAATGTTGTTATCACATGATCGATCTAAATAGTTTACTTTTTCCTAAGAGCTAAATAAGAGATCAAAAGTACATTTTGGTATTGAAAATAACTCGTTATGTGTTAATGTTGATTTATTGATAGTGTATAAAATTATAATGATACTCCTTCATTAACATTTTAATTTGCTTATATCTCTATTTAGCCCTTAAATATGCCCTGATATGGCTTGAGGGTGGGGAGAGATAGCTCTCTCTCTCTCGAAATGGCCATGAGTATATAGCCACTGCCTAGGAAGTCCTACTCATTGCTTTCTCGTAGCATTACTGTTGTTTACGAAATTGAGAGGACGAAAAGCGAATGCCTGGAGCTTTAAACGAGTTAGTGGACACGTAGGGGTTAACCTATGAGAGTTGGAAAACCCTCATTCCAGACCGATGGTGAACATCGGCTCCAGGATCCTGAAGGATAAAATGGCGTATGAAACAATAGTTTGTCGCTGGCTAACATGTGACTACATCTTGTGTTGCTCCACTGCATTGTGGATCAGACCTTTAGGTTGAAGGCTTGGGGTGTGGTCCCCTATGAAAACCACTTGTTTCGGTTTGGGCACCTGGGCAGTATCACAGCCCGCATACAAATCAAGTGACCTGTATTCAGTGTCTCTTTGTACGAATATTTATGTGTTCAATTAAATAAATAAATAAACCTATTTAGATTATTGAATCATTATTTACACACGTTATTCGATCGTCAGTGATTATTTTGATTTCCACTTACTATATACAAGGAAAAAAAGAAGCTGAAAAAACCATTTGAATATATATTCTTCGCGGAACATGTTGGTGTTTAAAGTGACATTATTGTTGATACATGGTTTCAGTCAGTATATGTATATAACGTTTAATTTTAAATGTATAAATCCAATGATAAACTTCATTGAATATAGGTCTCAGTTAGAACAAAATAGTTTACCATATGATCTGATACTCCTCATTGATTATCCGAATGTGATGTAGATTCCTGTTGGATGGAAGTTCTATATTTCAACTATCGAACGATAGTTTAGCTTACAATTGATTGTATATAATCAGCATCATACTTTAGACCTAATTTTCTTGCTAGTTGTGTAAAATCTTAAGGAATCTGATGTTCTCAGTAGGATCTAACCAAACACCACCCAGCTCCACAATCTGAGACTTGACCACTAAACGTTTCAGGCAGCAACTGACTTCACGTAGGACTGACATATTTGCAACCGTTTGATCACGAATCAGCGACAAATGTCATGTTTGTCTAGTCCTTAGTGCTGATGGAATTCTATCAATGAAGTTTCAGCATGGTTACTTGTCTATGTTACTCGGGTTCGAATCCCGCACTTTTAATCAGTTCCTCCAAGATAACAGGTGCACTTTGCTAACAAACGGCAATTAACACAAAACATAGTTCCAGCACTTCCTGCCAACCTTAGAACATCCCAACATCATGGATGTGATGCTGATGCTTAGATCGGTGGTCACATTTGAATTTGATCGATAGGACTTTATCAGGATTTAGGATTAGATATACATGACATTGATAACTATTCAGTTATTCTTTAGTTAGAAATGAATACCAACTTTCTGTTGTTGCTTCATATAATGTCAGTTCATGACAAGAACTATGGACGCCTTAGTTGTAAGTTTAGTATTTCAACCAATAAACGGTAAGTTTGTTTTACAACTAGTTGGATGTCACAGCCTTTTCTCTCTATCTCACAATACTTAGATTTGATTGCATCATTCAGCAACTTTTACGTTTGTTTGTTTGTTCTTTTTTCTTTCTGTATAAAATTATCAGCGGCAGAAAATGAAATCAGTCAACAAGATTTAGCAATGGCTATCAGTCGTAGTTTAGCGTATATATGGCAAACATTAGAGAAATTATTAACAAGACAAATTGCTGAAGTCTACACAGATCTTGTTGGACCATTACGTCAATTAGTAGAATCTGCATCTCCATCATCTGGTAATTTACCAGATCAAAATGATTACAATGTGAAAATGAAAGAATTTCTAGTAAGTATAAATTAAATCTACAAACTATGAATTACACATACTAATTGTATGAAGCCGATAATTTACTAGTTATGAAGTATTCAACTTTAGACAGGATATGTTATAGATTCAAAATCCTGTTCATTAAATCTGGTTTAAATACACGAATGTCCGGCGCTTTAACCGAGTTAGTGGATATGGAAGATCAACTTGGGGAAGGTTGGAAAACACTGTTTCCAAACCAATCGTTCACATGGGCTCCGCTATCCTGAGGGGAAAAATTGAGTATGAACCAATTATTGGTGATCGGCTGCCGTGGGACTGCATCTTTCGATGTTACTCCACTGCCCTATGGATCAGACCTTTAGGTCGAAGGCTCCGGCTGTGGCCCACTGAGAAAATCACCTGCTTCAGTCTGGGCACCCAAGTAGTATCACAGCCTACATACAAATCAAGTAACTTGTGTGGATCATATGTATTCGGTGCCCATTTGTACCAATATTAATGTGTTCAAATAAACAAATAAAGTACATTCATGGGTCAATATCTATTGCTCTTATTTGTATGTATACTCCCACTGTAAAGTAAATAAGTGTTGGGGACGATAGATCCCCAAAACTCAAATTTTTGTAATTTACTTATCGATTAAATGCGCAGATAGGTCAATTGATGAACTATCGATTAAATGTACAAATAGGTCAATTGATGAACTATCGATTAAATGTTCAAATAGCAGTCAATTGTTGATTAATGTTTAAAAATTTTCTATGACAATATCGATTGTAAATAATTGTATAAATACGCTTGACTTGTATGCTTGATCTGATCTGCCTGCCTGACTTGTTATCTGGTGTTTGTCTGTAGAATACACTTTCTACGCCTTACCAAGACTTCTTGATCGAGTTAGCTGAGTCGAAGACAACGGACCAGAATAGTCTATCGAGTCTCTGAATCCTGAGCCTTCGTTCCGTTCCGAATAAGTCGAATCAGTAGTATCCTCAAGGTTAACCAAACCTCCGGCTGTGGCCCACTGAGAAAATCACCTGCTTCGGTCTGGGCACCCGAGTAGTATCACAGCCTACATACAAATCAAGTAACTTGTGTGGATCATATGTATTCGGTGCCCATTTGTACCAATATTAATGTGTTCAAATAAATAAATAAAGTACATTCATGGGTCAATATCTATTGCTCTTATTTGTATGTATACTCCCACTGTAAAGTAAATATGTTTCATTATACAGATACAACCTACAGTAATGTTTTTCATTATCTTGAAACTCGAATACAAATTATGACTGACGCTAAGTTTAATATCCTGAAGTTATTCATGATATATATTTTTTATTCATTCATTTTGACTAAAACATAACCAGGATACAACAATCTGTATGATTGAAGGTTATTTGGAATATATCTTGAATTCATAATATAAATGGTGATGGATCATGAACATTAGTGTTATGGTTCGTTAATTTGAATGCTACTACTGATTCGTCTTACTCGAACGGAACGAAGGATCAATGATACAGAGACTCGATAGCTATCCTGGTCCGTTGCCTCCAACTCTGCTAACTCGATTAAGAAGTCTGTGTAAGTTGTAGAATGTGTATTCTACCGACAAACAGCAGATAACAAGTCAAGTCAAGCACACAAATCAAGCGTATTTATACAAATATTTATAATCGATATTGTCATGAAAAATTTTTGAACATTAATCAATAAGTTCGTCAATTGACTGCTATTTAAACATTCAATCGATACTTCATCAATTGACCTATTTGCACATTTAATCGATAAGTTCATCAATTGACCCCCATACAAATATTTAAACATTTAATCGATAAGTTAATCAATAAGATAAAATTACAAAATATGAGTTTTGGGGATCTATTGCCACCAACAATTAGTTTCTTCTATTATTTGTGGTCTAGTAATTTAATCATTTAACTGTTAATAATTGACTAGTAAAGGTTTGTGATTTCCCAATGTGGATATTTAGGACTACTATTGATTACTTTTTATTGTTATATTTGCATCCTTAACGGATTACTTCGACATGACATTTAGTCACAAATTATAGTATACCTTAGTGGATGTGTTGTTGATTGGACTGTAAGGTATCGAACCAAATTATCCATCTGAAAAGACCGTAACAGGACGAAGAACGCTTTTTTTGTAGTTCACTGCTAGTCAAATATCAAATATAATATTTCAATAATCATATCACAATTTTGAATAGTATTCTCTATCTACATATCTTATTCAATAAATCTTGAAGTTAGACATTAACTTCGTTGAATGCCGGCTGACTCAGTGGCCTAGTATTAAAGCGCTCGCATGCGAGACTGGTAGGTCTTGGGTTCGAATCTCTCGAGGCGAGATCGCGGATGCCTACTGTTGAGCAATCCCACAACAGCCGTCCAATGCTCTCAGGTTTTCCATGATAATCTAGCTTCAATTGACTCATGATCTTTATCCAATTCACATTACTATGGTAACATATATATATATTCATTTGATCGAGACATATGCCATATCGTCTTCTTGAAGTACTGGTGATCTCTCTATGATTCATTGAATCATTACGATGACTTCAGTTATTGTTGTGTTTTTTTTTCTGTTTCTCTTTAATAACTCTTACTAATTGATAATATAATCTAGAATTTGGAAGAAATAAGATTAGTTTCTTGCAAATCATATTGTATTCTATTTTATTTCTAGTTTGTTTATTTGTCTATATAAGTTAGATTCAATTGTTTACTTTAGATGTATATGTTTAGTGATCATTTATAGTTGTAAGTAAATCAAGTGAATAAGTTGTTGTGTTTATCTTCTTCTTTTACCATTACTACATCATCATTATCATCATCATCGTCGTCGTCATCATGATCTTCTTGACTAATCATAACAGATTCCTCTTGTTATTAATTGACAATCAAAAGTATTTTAAGGTAAACAAATGTAAGAATAGATTTAATGTGTTTACCAAGAATATTTCAACTACTAATGATAGAAGATTATATTACTGTATAGATGTATTAGACGTAATAGATGGAAAAGAATTTGTACGAATTATATATAAAAAAGGATTATTATTGATAGGATAAGTTATAGATAATGGCTACTTTAATTGTATAAGCAAATATAATTACCAGAGCTTAGATATGTAAATAAAATGAGCTAAAAATACCCCCAAATTCCGTGGTACGGCCGAGTGTGGGGAAAGTCAGTTCTCCCTCTCAAATTACTCTCACATGGCCATGCGTATATAGCCATTGCTAGGGAATTCCTACTCATTGCTTTCTCATAGCATAACTGTTGTTTACGAAATTGAGAGGACGAAAAGCGAATATCCAGCATATAAACCGGGTCTGTAGATATGGAAGATCCATCTATGGGAGTTGGAAAACCTTGATTTCAGACTAATGGTCCACATGGGCTCCAGTATCCTGATGGAACAAATAGCATATGAACCAATTATTGATGACCGGCTACCATGGGACTGCATCTCGTTAAGGTTCCCTACTACCTTGTGGATGAGACCTTTAGATGAAAGGCTTGGGGTGTTGCCCCTTAAGAAAACCATGTGCTTCGGTTTGGGCATCCGGACAGTATCACAGCTCATACACAAATCAAGTGACTTGTGTGGCGTATATGTATTCGATGTCCTTTATATCATTATTTATGTGTTTAAATAAATAATAATAATAAACTAATGAAAATTATTGTCATCATGAAGTATCTCTTCTAATGAATAAATTGAACGATAGTTTCGGTAAACTGAAATAAATATTCAGGTTCTCCTGTTGTAATTGGTTGTTAGTTGATACATCAATATTGTCTGGAGTTTTGAAGTAATGCCTGAATTTAATTCTTGCGTACTATCATCTAATTATTTTCTTTGACAGATAGTGATGCGTCTAATTAGTCGTTTTTTTTCAAGTGGGAGGTTTTCTTGACTCCCTTATCAAGTACATATTCGTGTGCTTAGCTTTGAACTGTACTCTGCTTGTGTGGGCTAGTGATACTAGTCAGGTGCCTATATTGAAGTAGGTGAATCATGGTTGAATCGGACGACTAAGTTATTGAACGTTGAACATCTTATCCACTGAGTCACCAGTTAAAATCTTAATACTTCAAAACTATTATATTTTGTAGATAAATTGTACCTCATATTTCCGTTTTACACTTCATTCGATGTTTGAATACAGAAGGTTAAGAATCGACTCACGCTTCGTGGAGCTTTTTTTTACGTTCGTATACTTGGGAACCTTATGGCACCGTCTGGTTTTGTTGGTTTTGGTGCCACATTAAGGTCAGATCTACAACACGTTGCTGAGAGCAGTTTTGCCCTATGCTTGTGAAACCTGGCCTCTCCGAGTTGAGGATGTTAGACGATTCTCTATTTGATCATCGTTGTCTCCGATGGATTTCCGACATCCAGTGGCAGCATCATGTTAGTAATGCAGAGTTTCGGCATCGTGTGTTTGAGAACAGCAACGACTATTCACTTAGTGTCACTATCTTGAAACACCGACTTCGGTGGCTTAGATATATCTTATGAATGTCGTCTCAAAAAATTCCACGTTGTCCATTATTTGTCGACTCTGGAACCTGTTGAAAAAAGCGGAGGTGGTCAGTATATAACACAGTGTCGTGGTATGAAAGGAAGCTGTATAGGACTTGCTTCTGTTAGTCCTTCAGGACTGCCTGCTTGGGATCCTAGTAATGGTGCAACAAAGTGGCTAGAGACGTTATCGGATATGGCTTAGAATAGAAGCCAGTGTCGATCCTGCTGTAATTTGCTTTTACTTTCTTCATAGAAGTAAACGTAGCTTCTTTAACTGAAGTAATTCTTTCTGGTTGTATTTTTGTTAACTGAACTCTCTCTCCCATTATTATTTCACTCACACATTAATTTCTGTTTTTTATTGTTCCTTTTATTATATTCACCTCACGTTCTCTATCTCCTCACAGCCTTATTATTATTGTATGACCCATATGTATTTGTTGCCTCGTTGTACTCGATTGGTCACTGCTTCTCACTAGAACTCCAGGATATATATCTTGAAGCCAGTTACCGGTGAGCATATGTTGATTAGTATCAAAAGGGGTTTTGTGGAGATTGTAGTAATTTAAACAGTTGAGATCATGAGTCAATTGAAGCTAGACCACCACAACAACAAAAAACTGTAATTTTGTAATTCCGTATGTTTAATTTTCTTATGACATAATCTCTTGATCTAAGAATATATTCACATATAAATTTTATTAGACGCAATGTAATCAACTTGTCAATACTGGGAATTAGCTGCAGCTACAAAATTATCCGATGTATGGCGTTCTGATGCATTACGTTGTTTAACTAGTCAACTTAATGAATTAGGTGCACAAGTTGTATTAGCTGGTCGTGCAGTTATCCTATCAGCTGATCCAAATTTACAATTACAACCTGGTGGAGCTAGTTTGAAACAAGCCACGTCAGACCATTTTCTTATGATGCGTCAACATTGGACAGATACTGCTGAACGTATGAGAGCATTAGTTGATGAAGCTGTTGATGCTAATGCATTCATAGCTGCTCAAGGTAAGTTGCACTTATACATATCAAATGTTCTTTGGACTTTGTAATTCAGAACAATTGATTACTTATTGTTTCATGAATTAATCATTACTTATGTGTTAAAATCCAGTTGTTATAAGTTGTATGTTAAATAACTGTGATCTAATACACAATGATGCATTTATTTAATTTGCTATACCCGTGATCACCGGGTAAGTAGTAGTGAGGTTGGATGCAAGGTACTAGGGAATGATGGTAAATCAGTTGATGAGGTTGTAAATCTTCATCGACTGAGATAGTTGGGTCACGTGTTACGTATCCCTGAACACTGATTGCCACGACGCGCACTGCTGACTAGTGTTGGAGAATGTTGGAAGAAAGTTAGGGGAGGCCAAACGAAAACGTGACATCAGTGCTTGAAGTCACTAACTTCCGTTCTGAACCATGTTGGTCGATGCAGGCTACTTGGTTGGGTTCCGTGTGACCGTCATAACTATTGATTGGAGACTGTGTGACATGACTCGGAATCGATCACAATGGCGTATTTGTATACACTCTCTATCTTCACTTAAACTATGAGATTAAAATCCTTCATATCTTTCTTTTTACGAACTAATTCTTTCTTCATGTATTATATCCTCATACACAATCTTTCTTTTATGTATATTACTATCATTGAATTAACTACTTCTATGAATTTGGTGTTCATGTTGTTGTGCCAATGAGTGAGGTGTGGCAACTTGGACCGATGCATATGTGTGTGTCTGGGCCTACATTGTAGCTGACTGACTAAGTTATGACTTTGAAAATAGCAAAATCAAAGTTTGTTTATATTGCGTCATGTAAGTGTGTGTATTTACTCGTTCCTGATGTTTTGGTACCAGATATATTTTTTATTTCATCAGTGTTAGTCCAAGTTTAACTTACTTACTTACGCCTGTTACCCCTCATGGAGGAGCATAGACCGAGTTCAAGTTTAAAGTGATGTCAAATTTTATATTCTCATTCTCTAGTTCAGTGCCTCAATGAATAACAAGGTGTCTATAGTTAACACTAATTTGTGTATATGTGAGTCTCTTAAATAGTGTCCGTTTCATCATGATCACATATACACTTTCTATTATGTCCTAATCCGTACGAAATCAGATCTAGAGTTTCTTACTACTTGTTTTCGACTATCTGTCAATGGTACTAAATTGTCGTTATTTCATTTTATTTCGATTTCTTATATTAGCAATCACTTTTCATGAGATATATTGCCTGAAGGTCGCCAGATCTACTTTACTAATTACTGCCACCAACCATTATAACGTAATAAATCTGTTTTTAGTTGAGAGTTGTATTAATTATTCCTCACTTAAATAGAAACTAAATAACCTAACTTTGTCCATATCAGCCGATTTTGACATGAACTAACCTTAAATTTATGAAATGTTCATATCCATATATCAAATTTAATGAAAATGTCTGACTTCATTCGTTATCCTCATTCATGATTGCAATTCTTGTCACAATAATAGTGCACGATCATGGGCTCCAGTATCCTGAAGGAACAAATAGCGTATGAACCAACCTTTGGTCACCGGCTACCGTGGGACTGCATCTCCTAACGATGCCCCATTGCCTTGTGGGTCAAACTTTAAAGTCAAAGGCTCGGGGTGTGGCCCCCTAAGAAATCCACCTGCTTCAATTTGGGCACCCGGGCAATATCCCAGCCCTCACATAAATCGAATGATTTATGTGGCACATATGTATTTGGTTCCTTCACGTACCAATGTTTATGTGTTTAAATAAATAATAATAAGTAAAATAGTGCACGGTCATTACTATAACCATAAAAATTGTCAAACGAGACTATAATCTATGAACGACCTTAAGCGTTTCTAAAAGTGACCTTGAGTGTAATTTCAGCCAGTTATTATGTTTAAAATAGGGTTAGTAATGAGGATTAGGAATTGGTTCAGAGTTAGTTTTTGAGTTCTAGATTAAGGGTTTTGATTACAAACTTAGATCAGTTATAATGCAAAAATGCTTTTTTTGTCATATGGCTGAATAAGGTCGACAAAAATGTCCGAGAGATGTTATCTTAGATCTGATTGATTCGCCCGTAAATTATAGTCTCGTTTTTAGTAAAAGATATTTTCCAATCGTCAATACAAGCCTTAATGACATTATTTAATATTCATCTTTCGTAGGTAACTAATCATTGAGTAGTGGCTAGCTTTACGTTTGCATAGCCCTTTAGTGCAAATCGATTTCCGTCAATTAAGTTACAATGTAACCATTGATTTGAGTAACTTGACACTGCGTTCACTATGTTGAAATGTTATAGTCGCACCCGACTACCTTTACCCACCTAATATTCTTATTCTATATAAAATAGCTAGTTTCGAGAAACAGTTTGTACAAGGTATATTCCACAGACCTATTGTTGAATATTATTCATTTGAAACGATTTTCCCCACAGTAATATGGATTTGAAATATATTACCACGCGAATACTTCTCTTATATTAAAGTCTAGGATGCTGTTTTAGAGGTACCAAACTGGTATAAACCAACTATTCACTACTCTATCTTTTTCATTTGTTCTTCTGCTACTGACAACTAGTTTGCAATGAATAATAATATAATAATCATGAGTTACTTTATTGGAAATCCGGTTCATTTAATACTTTACAATGTCAGTCTTACTTTTAATCACTTCAGCTTTTGTAACCTAGTGTATCCACTAAGGGTTTCACAAAAAATTTTGTGACCTTAAGTTAAGTACACAAACTTCAACCTAATAAGTGAATCACTTTATTATTAACGATTGGAATTAGTGATGGCAACAATTTGACTAAGTAAAAAAAATGTATTATCAGTTAATAAAACTACAAGTAGGTTCTGCATGAGAACCACGATCAGTGGTTGGCGGTGTTCAATGATATAGATCGAAACCACTAATAGTAGGGTGAAATTAGTCACTGTTTATCTTTCGTTGTATTTTAAATTACACTTTTCATCCATGCATACCTTATCATTCTGTCTTTCTGAACTATTTCCTCACCATCATTTTGATCATTTGATCTCATCAGGCTGATATAATATGATAGCTTTGGTAAGATCCTACGTTGATTCTGACTAACCGACTAAATAACATTGTAGATATGTTTTTTCACTCGATTGGATGTACATTTACAAAACTCAACAGATTAAGAAAATTTCAATTTTTGAGATCATGAATCAGTTGAAGCTAGACCACTATAGAAAACCTGGAAGCATTGGACGGTCGTTTCGTCCTATTGTGTGGTCAGTCAGTCAGTTAGCTACAACGTAGTGCCAGGCACATATGTACATTGGTCCAAGTTGCCCTACTTCATTGGCACAACAAGATAAACACTGGATTCATAGAAGTAGCTACTTTAATGGTAATAGTATATAAAAGATTGTGTGTAAGTATATAATGCAGGAAGAAAGAATTAGTTTGTAGAAAGATAGGTATAAAGTCATTTCAATCCCACGATTTAAGTGAAGACAGAGAGTGTATACACCTTCTCCATTGTGATCGATTCCGAGTCATATTACTCAGAGTCTTCACCCATTGGTTACGATGATCACGCAGACCCCAACCAAGTAGTCTGCATCTACTAACATGTCTCAGACTAGAAATAAGTGACTTCAAACACTGATGCCACCTATTGTGGGACTCCTCAGCAATGTGCATCCATGATCTCTCTCCTTACGAGAAAAAGTTAAATGAATGGTAGTTTTCATAGTTAGTTTTTTAAAAAAATACATTTTCAACTTATAACATATTACTTATATTACTTATAAACGGAGTGTTTTGTTTTATAAACCTTATTATCTCATCATTTAACCAGATATATAATATAAACTTATGACCTGATTATATGGTTTGTTTAACAATTACAATATAAAGTTGTGGATTATTTGGTATATATAAGGTGTGGCAAAGTAATCTGTGTCCTTATCGAAATTTCTTTTATTTTTTCTTTGTCAATTATTTTGTATTATTTATTGCACATTATTTTTGTTATCGATTAAAGGCAATGCTGAGATAAAACATCAAATTTTAAGATAAATGGCAAATAGGTTTATATAATTGTATATCTTCATTATTGAATGAGATAGTTAAGATATATACAAACATATGCCTTACTACTATGCAAAGATGAATAGTGATTAGCAGTGAAATCTAGGATGAAGCATGTTTCGTCCTATTTGGGACTCGTCAGCTCGATGTACCTGCATCTCATAGTTGATGTTCGCTATGGAGCTCGAACTCAGTAGCATTCGCTTTAAACTCTATGACGTTATCCACTTAGTTATTGAGTTCTGATAGTCACTTGCTTGTGTAATGGGCTGATGTTTAGATTCACTTGATATTGCGTTATTTGAATCTTCCATTGATGTTTATGACTGTAATTGATCAGTCTCTTACTGGTATTCGTGCATTCTGTGCGTATTGCCTAATTTCACAAACATTATATGCAAAGGTGGATAATGGCTAGCAGTGGAATCCAGGACACCTGTTTCATCCTATGCTTAACTACTACTTACTTTGATGCAGGAACTTCGACAGGATAAGAGAACAAGTTTGAAGAAAGCTACGGGTGTCCAAATTATGACATTGTTGGGTTTTTTTATCTGAACCATGCTGCGAAGCATCACATTTACCTGATTTGATTCGGCATAACCATCATGACCAATGTTAAGTGATATAACTTAGAATTAGTCATAAGTTTCGACCTTGAACTCAAATGTTATCTTATTTCCTATTCATTAGATTAATTCCTTCTTTAGTCACATTATGCCTATATCTCATCATTTATTTCTCTATTACTATCAGTAACACTGTAGTGAAGGATAACACAGGTGAGCATAACCGAATTATATTTAGCACAAAATTATAGTTACTTGGTAAAATAGAAAAAACCATACTATAATACCTAATTTGCAAAATGTTGAATAATTGTCTCGAACTTCGTTGTTCTTGCATTTCCATACTAATTGCTTTCTATTCCCGCTCTTCCTTTCTTGATCTTCCCAATCTTCTGCTGCCAGACATTACATTCCTGACTCACGTTATATACTACTTATATCAATATAAGTAGCATGCACCACAATACTAATGCTTATGATATTGTGATTTTTATTTTAATAATTCCATTTCATTGTACTCATGTAGTTTGGCAACTTAAACTGATTCAACTTCTTCATATTTAGTTAAATGACTATTCTAATATAAATCTTATTTATTTTGAAAATAAACTTTCATAGATCCATATATATTGTGATGCGTTTAAGCATAATTTTCTCATATTAGATCATTGTATTTGTTTGATCCATATTATTCATGTTTACATTTCGTTGATGTAAACATATCTATGCTATAATACATGATATTTATTTAATATGTATACAGTGGTTTAATTTTTTTAGAGAATATTTCAGTATAGGGTTGTAGCGATTGTTGAGTTTAGATTAATATAATGAATGAATCAATGTTAGACCATCATGGGGAACCTAGAAGCACTGGATAGCCCTTTCATCCTATTGTGGGACTCCTCAGCAATGTGAACCCATGATCTTGCACGCAGGACTCGAGCCCAGCACCTTCAGTCTCGTGGACGAACGCTTAATCTCTAGACCACTAAACCGGTATTCAACGATGTGAATGTATAACTAATCCATGATATTTTACGACCGTCCACCATTGTCATCAATGAGTAACTGCCTCACAACAGACACGGTTGAACTGTACTGGTCACGGATTTTCACTAAAACTCCAGAAAATCAATTATGAAGCTAGTCACTAGTGAACACATGATAATCGGGATTGTGGATGCGCGCCATTGAGGAGTCCCATAATAGGACGGAATTTCCATTTAGTGCTTCTAGGTTTCGAATTAGTTCTTATTTTTAAAAAAATACCTGAAAAGTAATCAGAATCACTACATATACGTATCTGTTGATAATCACTTGATCGAGTGGAATTGACAATGAAAATTTAAGTTTAATTCAGTGCTATTGGTTTCTCATCACTTGAATGTTTCTGTAACTCAACAAAAACAAATATTCTTAGCTTGATAAAATCATAGTTCTAATAAATACCCTACTTGAAACATGTACCGAAAACTTATTTTTTATTATATCTACATTATATTTTATATAAGATGTGACACTTTTCTATGTCAGTCAGTCACAACGTGGAACCAGGCATATATGTGTATCGGTCCAAGCAGCCATGCCTCATTAGTACAACAAGATGAATACTGAATTCATGGAAGTAGTTACTTCAGTGGTAGTAATGTATAAAAGAAAGATTGTGTATAAGGATATAATGCATGAAGAAAAATTAGTTGATAGAAGGAAAGATATAAAGCAATTTTAATTTTACTGTTTAGGGGAAGACAGGAAGTTTACACACCTACGCCATTGTAATCGATTTTGAACCATGTCACATACAGTCTTCAACTTTTGTTGGACCGCAATCAAGTAGTTTGGATCTATCAACATGACTCAGACTAGAAGTTAGTGACTTTGTGACTGATGCGACCTTTTGCTTTGGCCGCCTCTAACTTTCTTCCAACCGTAGCCAGCATTGCGCGTCGTGGTAATCGGAGTTCAGGCATACGCAACACGTGACCCAACCATGTCAGTCGATAAAGTTTCACAATCTCATCGACTGATTTGCCATCATTCTCTAATACTCTGTGTCTAACCTCAATATTACTTACGCGATGATCCCAGCAGATGCGAGCAATATTCTAAGACATATGTGGTCAAATACTAGTAGCTTACGAGTATCTTCTACTCCTAATGGCCACGTTTCACAGCCGTAGAGTTGAACAAAATGAAGTATACTTTTCCCTTAATTGATAGAAGGAATGACAAACAATTCCATTTAACACGCAGCATTTCACAGTATATACACAATAACTTTTAACTTCTTTGTTTAATTTCCCAACCATGAGAAAATAAGTAACTAGTGTATCAGTATTCCTTACACAAACCTTTTCTCAGAGATAATTACAGAAAATCTCCCCCCATCTGGTAGATTAGTCACATGTGTTATGCACTAAATTCACGGCATTTTAGATATCTGCTTTAATAACCTGTCACCTATAGAAGTAACTGACATCGTTAGCATCTGAATTAACGGTTTCTTAAAGAATTCGATTGTACCCATTAAATAGTTACTTTTCTTAAGTTAAAAGGCTTCTACTGAAATTAGTTTGATTGGTGGGTTATATTCGTCACAATAGTTCTAATGGTTAAAAATCCGCAAAATTTGAGGGTCCTTTGTTTACTTTTAGGCTTGATAATGGGTACGCACTGCTAAAGAATCTCGTTCTAAGATGGAGCTGTTGTTCAGGGCTCCTTGGTTTCCGTTGGTACCCTAACTAAAACTAATCTGTGACGTATCGATTTATAGATTATTTTTCTTTCAAAATAATATCTGCGTCAATTCCAAATTCCCATAGTATCATTGATTTGGCACCACTAAATAAGGTCGACTCGCGCAAAATTGTCCATCACACATCGGGTTATACTGGTCATCCATAGAGTTTTAACATCATGTTGCTTAACCTTTAGAGCCCAAGTGAATCTCGTTTATCAAATAGTATTGCCGGCACTACAACCTCGAGAAAGATGTTATGACTCTAGGTGACTGAACATAATCATCAGGAAACCGTTGATTAATTTGTCATGTTTGTCAGCACTTCTAAACAGGATGTAGCTTTAATTCAGAGATGATGAAACTTCTTTCGGACTCACTTAGATGAACCAGTGCGAGAATCGAAACCTTACCTGTTACCATTTTGACCCTGCTAAATTGAAATATATACACCAGTCTGTTCTTAAGTATTGATAACTAACGTCAACGCTGTTTAAATCCTGTCAATTGGTCTGCATCCATAGTTTCTTTTAAGATCACATCTAAATATTTCAGCTTATATTTGTACCACAATTGTTGTATAATATGCATCAACTTGAGTCTTTTCAATTTAAATTACACTTTCTACTTTGAATACTACAGAGATTGGAATGTTACGTGATTCGGCCAGAACAGAAAATAGTATTGCTGCAATATCAACAACTGGTGTAGTTGAATCTACAACACGTATTGCACGACGAGCAAATCGTGTACTTCAATTAATCACACGAGAAGCAGATAATAGCGAAGATCCATTGTATGTTGACCGAATGAACGATGCTGTGAAAGCTTTACGATCAAGTAAGTGTTATATAAATACATATGGTTTTTCTTTTTATTTATATTATGTATTTCAAAAAAGGTTTTTATAATTGCAAATTAGGATAATAAGATAAGGATTAGTTGTTCATCATTTGAACCCGAACAGTCAATGACCGTCAATTTTTCCTACAGTCCACGTATAACATAAAGAAGCTTGTAAATTATTCACCTAATAATACTTGTAGATATTAAAAGACAATTCTTATCACAAACCGCTGTCAATGCAAAATCATTTGAAACCATTGAATAACTGTTAATTCCTAAATGATAGTTGAATTTTAGTTAATATTGGAATTGAGGATTTTGGTTTCGTCGTGTTCGTTGTCTATATTCAAGACTGAATTTCGATTAATCTTTGGTGATTGATGTGTGTTTTGTTAGGATCTCTTTGATATTACCAGTGTCACATATTTTATAAATGGATTATAGCTCGCAGCTTGCGAATCCCAAATAAAACGAGATAAACGATCTAGATTTCTCTGTTATCTACATTTCATCTATTTTATGGAAATTTTTAACAATGACTACCTTTAGGTAAATCCTCACCAGATGTATGTATTGTGGTGTATGCTACTTATGTTTGTTTTGATGGAGTTTTATTCTCTGAGCTGGATGGTTCAGTCATAGAGCTTTGATCGACCAAACCATCCAGCTCAGAGAACAAAACTCCACCAAAATCATCCACCTGAGCTACAAATATTCTCCGCCATCTCCCTTATGTTTGTCGGCATATATAATATGTAACACCAAGCAAAAGTGGAATGCTTGGCAACAGAAGGTTGAGAAGATCGAATTGAAGAGAACGGGCATGTAAACAGAGAATAGTTGTCATAGCAATGAAGGGACCATACAGTTTGAGATAATTGATGAAGTATTTAACGTATAGTTTTTCACATTTTACGAAAGAACTCGATGATTTTGCATTGAATAATAATTTGGTTATCCCTACCTGACTTCTCGTTCACTACAATATGTCATTTTAAACTGATCAAAGTTTAGTGGGTACCTGGACTTAATAGTTCAACGGACAACACGTTTTGTGTATCTGCCTGCTTTGCGCCTATTTTTAAGTATCAATTGCTCAAGAAATTTCTTATTCTTTTCAATACAATGTGTGCATTCATTATAATGTATCCCCTCAGAAGACTTTTCTCCTTTGTTGCAAAATCATTATTATTAATAAGTTTTGATCCATCTTTTTGACATCACTCCGTCTACTAGTTATATTTAGACGATGGCATTTTGATCGCATGAAGTACAATTAGGTTGAAGCGGTACGCTTCTCATATGTGCCAATTCAGTGATCTATTTTCTACATAACGTTTACCGGTTTGTAAGAATGCTTGTTCAAGATGTAGCTTTCTTTACTTATTTCCAACCATTTGACTGTTTCTGGTTCGTAACAACTTCTCCACTTTGGTGTTCGACAGCAGTTTAGTGTTTAGGGTGTTCAATTTCCACTTCAGATTCGATTCCCTTCCTTACTTAGATTTCGTCACCGGGTTTGTGTAATATCACTTAATCTCACTCATAAAAGTGTTACTCACATCTGGTTACATCTTTGGTAAATGAATTACATTATATTACATATGCTTTTGAAATCCTTGTAAACATCGACTAGTAACTATAATCCAAATGAAGTCCAAAAACATTATAATCCATTGTACTAAAATATTATCTAGTAGAAATTTTATGATATTAAGAAGAGAAAAAAAAATCCGTATTGTTGTTCAGCCAAACCCTGTTATGGTTTACTTACCTCTTTTATTTCCAAATAAATAAAACTTTTCACATTTCTAGACTCTCCCTCTTTCTCTCTTAACTGATTTCACTTTTTGTACATCATTAATAAGTGTCTGTGTTTGAGTGTGCGTTTATATATATGTATGTATGTAGGTAGGTAGGTAGGCATATGTCTGCAACGTATATTAAAGATTGTACATTTTGTTGTTATTTATAAGATAAAATTTGTTCCGGTGATTGTGTATGTTCATGTACCTTAATGTTACCGTTATGTATATCTATGTCCAGAGTGGTGATAATTAATCACCAATTTTTCGCTCTCTCTCTCTCTCTTCCTATCTTTTCCTTTGAATGAATAAATATATTCGTATCTGTGTGTTTACATGTGTGGCTTTTCCTTGTTCCTTTAATTACTTTTAGCACGTACTGTGCTGATTCATTGAAAACAAAACAAGAATCAATACTATTTATTATATCACGAATATATGTATACATGTATATAATATTTAGTAAAGTATTGGGTTCGAGTCCCACTATATAGCAAACATAGGATACAGATATATATATATATATATATATATATATATATATATATATATATATATATATATATAATTTGAACAGTCCTAAATAAAGGACAAAATGTACACCCTAATTTTCACTGCTGATGAAAACATTCATATACTAAACAGTAGTAATGTAGTTTTATGAGGCTGTTCTTATTTTTCTAGTTTTAACATGAAAATCTCACCATAATTGTTTTTCAAGTTATGTCATTTCGGAATAAAACCTTTCTGTATTATATGTATACATATATACAAAATAGTTTCACATTAAACTGATTAACGCATTATTTATATTTCCTATTAGATTCAGTAGTTGTTTGCAGTTATTCATAGTTATATAATATACCCTTGTGGGCCAGGGTAATTTTACATTGGTTTTCAGGAGAACCAGACACCATCCGGACTTTCACGTGACAACCCAAACAGTATAGCTCAACCCCGTCTAGCAGGGGAATCAGACACCGTGTAGGCTTTAACGCTACAATCTGAATAGTACAGCTCAATCCTGTGGTGCAACCACACGGGTACCAAGCACCCTGGTGGACTATTCGCACCATTCATATACACATTCACATCACATGTCTTATTATTTCGGTCAATGATCGCGTGAATCAATTATGCATAACACGAACAGGCCAAAGTTGATTTATTCGGCTAAAACGACAGTCAAACTCGTTAATATTAGCAATGGCGGCATGCCTTACAATGTCCCAATGACAATGGCCCTCGGGAACACTGAAAAGCAACCACCAGTATGAATGAAATCGGTTAACCAGAAAACCAATGAACAGTCAGCAAGACTTGCCAAAGTAATGCCGAACCATCCACAATATCAATAGCAAACCTCCAGTTTCATATGAGACCTTCAGCTCTTCATAGCCATATTGCTTATGGTAGTTGTTTGCACTATTGATGAAATCATAGTTCTAAATTATGCAACTATTCTGTTCACTTAAGTTGGATAAAGTATGCCGCCTTCATGTTTGCTGAATCTTCATGAATTACTTAACTGAATGAGGTGGTTAATGGTGGCTAGAATTAGAATTTAGGATGCTCATTTCGTCCTATTTAGGATTAGTTAGCTGGATTTATCAAGATTCCAGAGTTGGTATTCATTCCCAGACTCGAACCCAGTAACTTCCACTTCAAACGTCATCGCATTATCCAGTTAGCTAATGAATTAAGGCAGCAGCTGGTTTATGCAATGAAATGAATTTCAAGTCCTAGAGTAAACATTAATTCTGGGTTGTAGGTTTACCCAGCTAACAAGTTCAGAATAGGACAAAATGGGCGTCATCGACCCTATTGATAGCCACTATATATCTCTGTCTAAAATGCTCATGAATTATTGGCAACATAGAGGCAATCTGGACGGGATGCACATATGCCAATAAGAGACTCGGAAATTAGGAACACTGAAATTTCTACAACGCATTGTGAGAACACAAGTGACTGGTGAAAATGAAGATCTATTAACTCTGTAAGTCACATCAAAAATAGGTTGTCCTCATTCAAACCGAATAGACTTGTTTATACAGTGATGTATAATTGAAGATTAGTTCATAAACATCATATAAATGAAAAGATACACAGTGTTACCTATAAAACTGTACAGAAAATAATAAAAAAATATCATTGTCACACGAAACGAAATTTCACGCCTTTCATGTTGAACAAAATTCATACTTAACTGATATAAAAATATTGATCTGAAATTATATCCCATAGTGAATGTTGGAGAAACCCGGAAAATTCCTCGAAAAGCATTGAATAGCAGTATCTCGGACACATCTAGAAAGTGAAGAGTCACGTGTTACATCTACTGTGGTTAGTAGCGTTCTCAAATTTTCCAGAAAACTAAGGCCGTTTGAAATGCTATAAATACCTGATATTTTCTGTCCATAAACGAACCTTGGAGTAAAGAGTTCTTTCCACATTTAGCTCCTTTTTTGTCGTGATCAAGTTGTTGTGGTTATAGGAGAATTTAGGAGACAAATCCAAACGTTCAGTTAGAAGATTTATTAGTGAATAAAAAGTTACTAACTTCTGTTCTGAGCCATGTTGGTAAATACAGACTACTTGGTTGGGTTCCGTGTGACTATCGTAACCAATGGTTGGAGACTGTGTGTGACATGGTCCAGAATCGATCACAATGGCGTAGGTGTAGGTGCAATCTTTCTTTTATTTATTACTACCATTGAATTAACTGATTGTATGAATCCGGTGTTGTTCATGTTGTGCTATTGAAGTATTGGAACTTGGACCGATACATATATGTGCCTGGTCTCATCACTTCCACTTCTCCCTTTTTCAATAGCTATCACACCAATGGTGAATGATGCTAAAGGTTTAGTAACAAATATTGAAGATCCACGTATGCATGATCAATGGCGTTTATCAAATCGTAATTTATTAACTGCTGTTAATTCAGTAAAGCAAGCTGTTAGTCCATCATTTAATAATCCTATTAATTATTATCATGAACATTATCGTCCAATATCTGTACATAAAAATGGAATTAATAGTACAAATACAAGTATAGTAGTAATAGCTGTAATAATATACATAACAATAATAATAATAACAATAGTGTCTCATCATCTAAATCATCACAAGCTTCTATTAAAGAGACAACATCTTCAATTCCTCTTCGAGAAATGCAAGAAATATCAATTACAGGTAAGTACCTCTGAAGTATTCTCTTCTAATTTTTTTTCCTTTAATATATTTGTTCTAATTCACAGTTATGTAGTTCATTGGATCATTTTTATTGATCCGTATTCTTTCCTTTGTTATATACTTAATGATTGAATTGAATTTTGTAAACACAATTTTCCAACAAATACTTTGACAAGCCCCTGTTACTTACTTACACCTGTTACTCTTAATGGAGTATAGGCCGCCAACCACATTCTCCAACTCACTCTGTCCTGGGTCTTGTTTTCTAGTTCCATCCGATTCTTGTTCATTTTTCTCATGTATATCTCCATTTCCCGGCGTAATGTGTTCTTTGGTCTTCCTCTTTTCCTTTGGTCTTGAGGATTTCCTGTATTCAATACAAATTCTCTTTGATAAACTGGTGGCCAAATCAAGAGGGTGGCATCAGTCCTTAAAGTCATTAACTTCTAGTCTGAGCATGCTGGAAGATCAGACTACCTAGTTTGTGTTCCAATGGTTAGAGACTTTGTGACATGACTCAGCATCGATCACAATGGCATAGTTGTATACACTCTCTATCTTCACTTAAACTATGAGATTAAAATCCTTCATATCTTTCTTTTTACGAACTAATTCTTTCTTCCTGTACTTTATCTTTATTGCAATCTTTCTTTTATGTATTACTACCATTTAATTTACTACTTCTAGTAATTTTGTGTTCATTTTGTTGTGCTAATGAGTGAGGTGTGGCAACTTGGACCGATGCATATGTGTGTCTGGTCCTACATTGAAACTGATTGACTCTTTAATAAACGATTGTTTTTATTGTATAGTTTATCTATTTGTATGATCTATCCATGGACAAAGGGTGAATATAGTCTACATCTTCCTACTCAGTAACATCATGGCCTAATATCACATTTTGATTTGATCACTACTAGACTTGTTCCAACCTATTCATTCACCAGACTGTTTATAGCATTGATGTAGACGCTTGTTGAGTTTACGTAATGTGTGTTTTAAACACTTCAGTCAATGAAGCTTCACAGTGTTATTAATCGATTTATCATCCTTTCCCGATACCGTATACCTTGTCTCCGTATTCAATGTGTCAAATACCTATTGTCAAATAATCGTGACCTACAAATATCTTATACTTTTATAACCATAGTTTTATAGGCATTCAGTAAACCAGAGAGAAATGCTACGCAGTATACCCGGTCGTTCATTTTCAAATGAGATATCTCATCAACGCAAACGCAACAAGTGATTTATAAATTGTCTTATATTTCAAGTATCAGTTCATTACGTTCCTTTTATAATGAAATTATTTGATAGTTAACTATTCATATCGTATTCATGGTGTATGATATCGATGTGACATACATTTCATACTAAATCTCGGTGTCTATTGTACTTTATTTTAAAGTGAATAGTATCTATATTTTTCTCCATCCATTTTCATTTCATTTCTTTGCTACTCTCTAGATGTTTCTCATATACCATATTCATATATTGACAATAATAATAGTAATGATTACATTTATCATACATCACATTATCATCATAAACCTGTGTACGAAATTAAATTATCTAATCCTCTTCATCATTCACCATCATCACCACCACTACCACATCATCAAAAACAACATATCACTACTACCAGTCATCATCATCATCAACCTTATTCATCACCTACACATTCATATCAACAATCCAGTTCACTTCATCAAGCATACTCACCTGGTCACTACACTAATAATAATAGTAGTAATAATAATTTACATTCACCACCATCACCCCCTTACCAACAACAAAATCATCATTATCATCCTCATAACCATTCAAAACATCATCATCATCAAACTGAAAACATAAATACTTATTTAACAATGAAACATAATAATGATTATTTATGTACAGGTATATATTTTTTGTTGAATATCATTGGGATAGATACGCATGTTCTTGATCTTGTGCATAATAATCACTTTAAGGATCATTTCTTTCTTTTCTATCAGTCTTCCTTTCTTCTTCCTCCTCTCTCTCTCTTGTTTGTTTTAGTACCAGTGTTTGTTCATTTGATTGCATGATAGTTAAAAAAGATTGAAATGATTTCTGTCAGTTTTTTTGTCTGATATGAAAAACAAGTAAACATGCTCGGCTTTTATCTTTCCTGTGAAATGCTGTTAAATTGATTATGTGTATATCATTATTTGATAATAATCCTTCTTGAAGTCTTCGTTATTACTGTTATCATGACTATTGTCATGGTAAATACTTATTTATTTAAACACATAAACATTGGTACAATGAAGTATCAAATAGATATGCGCTATATAAATCATTCGATTTCTGTGAGAGCTGGGACACGGCACGGTGCCCAAACGGAAACAGGTGGTTTTCGTAGGGAGGTCGTACCCGGAACTTTGACCTAAAGGTCTAATCCACAAGGCAGTGGAGCAACGTCAGGAGATGCAATCTCGTGGTCACCGGTCACCAATAATTGGTTCGTATACTATTTGTTCCTTCAGGATCCTGGAGCCCATGTGCACCATTAATTACAGTACGAATACAAAAATTGGTTATTATTTGTGAATTTCATAAGGATGTATTAAGGTATATAATAATAAAGGGTTAATGCTGTTAAAATGTTGATTATACTATCTATCTGTTATTATTACAGTCGAAATAGTAGACTTTTAGTTTTTTTCCATCTTCTACACATCGGTTATATGAATATCGTATGTTCTTGTATGTTTGCATATTGCATTGGCTTTCAATATTAATACATTTCTTGGAAATTGTTTGTCTTAGTTTATTTCTTTCTTTATGTTTATCCTAACACATTGTTTATCGTATTTTTCAGATGAAGATCGACAACAACAATCTGGTACTATTTCTTTAGATGATGCTGTATCTACTACAACAACAGCAGCTGGTGTTCCTGCACGAACTAGTACACCTGATACGGAAGTTGATGAAGAATTCAACTTCCCACCACCTGAAGAAAATCAACCAATTATGGTCAGTGAGAATTGTATTTATGTTCGTTTGTCTTGTTTTCTTTTTAAAACCTGTTAAAAATGATTTATATAAGTTCTCATCAAGATTTGAACGATTAGTTTCTCAAATGAATTGAATATCAACCAGGGTAAATTATCCAACAAATTCTGTATTATAAATTTGGGCTAGTTAAAATACTATAGGTAGAGTAGTACTATGGTAAGTTGTAATTGCTTTCAATTACTTCAGGTCATCTATATTGTCTTTTTACTTTACAGTGACCAGTTAAGATATAAGGTTACTTTTCTATATAATTTATTCGTTATTATCATAATAATACTTTCGGTTATATACCTTGATACGTCCGAGGGTGGGAACAGTTCACTCTCCCTCTCGAAATGTTCTCATATCACCACATGCATGCAACTACTGCCAGGGAAGTCGTACTCTCGTGGTATTACTGTAGTTTACGAAATTGAGAGGACGAAAAGCGAATTTCCAGAGCTTTAACCGGGTCGGTGGACACGGAGAGTCCATATAGCGGAGTTGGAAAACCCTCATTCCAAACCAATGGTGGGACATGGGCTCCAGGATCCTGATGGAACGAATGGCGTATGAACCAATTATTAGTCACTGACTACCATGTGACTGCATCTCCTGACGTTGTTCTCTACCTTGTGGATCAGACCTTTCGGTCGAAAGCTCCGCGTGTGGCTCCCTAAGAAAACTATGTGATCCGGTTTGAGCACCCGAGTAGTATCATAGCCCAGACACAAATCATGTGATTTGTGTGGCGCATTTATATTCGGTACCCCTTTGTACTAATATTTATGTGTTCAAATAAATAAATTATATCACAGGATGCATTGATGCTTAAAAGGCAATTGTTTTTCATAAGATCAATACTTAAAGTTTGAAACTAAATGCGTAAATACGAGTGGAATGTAATACGTGTAAGTATATAATACAACTTTATAATCACCCATAGCTTTATATTTCCTTCTTTAAATCATACATTTTTTGTGTTTACCTATCTATCTGTTTGTGAATTCAGTAAACTATACAATTGTCCAATGTAAATAAAGTTATATTGGGTTCCTATTTCATACTCTATGGTTAACAACTGAGTATTTTCGTTACTATGTTGTTGCTTCATATAGTTAATTATATATGCGTAATATAAATTAATGTATTTATAATGAGCCTTATTAGTCACATGTTTTCTAACAATCATCATATTTAATATAAGAGATTATATCCTCATTATGTCATATTTGTAGACCTACTTTAATAAATGTATATTTCTATTATTAAAATTTATTGAAAATTCAGTTATATAGAATTCCATAACAGATATAAACTAAATAGATTCTTAGAAATGGAATTTACTCAGTTCATCGACAATGAGCCGATGGAACATATATCTATATGAATGAACAGATGCGTACATTGTATGTACACACGTTTACTAATACATTCCAACATCCAAGTAAATATGTGATCCTATGATCTTATAATATTGCACAGATACATATTAAAATAAGATTCAGTATTTTGACTGAGATCATGAACCGTTTGATGTTAGACCACTATTAAAAATCTCACTCGCGAGATCATGGATGCTCATTGCGGAGGAGTCACACAGTAGGAAGAAATGGCCATCCGGTTCTTCCAGGTTTTCAATGCTGGTCTAACATCAATGGTTCATGATCTCAATCAAAAACTTGATAATCTCCACAACCCTATACTGAGATTCAGTATAGATAAAGTAAGCTACTGAAATAAAATAAGTAGGTAAATTTCACAGCAGTACAATCACACATAACATAATTGATCAGATTTAAGTTGATTCTGTGACTTATAATTAACCAAAATTTAGGTGTATTAATGTTTACACTGTCTATTCAAGACAAAAATTACTAATTTGTTTTTCAATGATTCATATCAGAAGGGTTTTTTTTGTCAATATCATCGTAATTTCAATGGTTGAGATCATGAAGCTAGATCATCATAGAAAAACCTGAAAGCACTGGACAACGGTTCCCTCCTATTGTAGGCCTCCTCAACAGTACACATCCACGATCATCATAGTAAATCAGCTAACCTTATTGTGTGCTTTCCACATTGAGAGTTTAAGTGAAGTTCATTTATTTCCAAAATACATTTTAACCAGCGGTTGACATTTTCTATATGAATATTAATTTGAATAAACAAAATTGGTGAGTGTTATAATTTCATCGTAAATATTTTCAACCATCCTATTTAGTTTTTAATACATTGACTCTACAATAGAAATCTACTACTCCACATTGTCATTCATTAATTTCAGAGACTGGTATCATGTTTTGGTTCGATCACAATTGATGTTTCTTTAATTCAATCCTACTTTAGCTTCCATCACTTATGGATTATAACTTGAATTATCATCTCTAAAGTGTAATCCAATGCCTCCATCAACTGATCTATTCGCTTTACTACGTAGATTCCTGTTGAGTAGTAGACTTATAATACCTCATCATCGAATCCCACCCATACATATATATTTAAAGGTGAAAATTTGTTTATGGTGAAAACACTTGATTTAAAGCAACTAGTCTGATGAATTTTCCACGTGTCTAAAAGCAACCAGGAATAAGTCAGTTTTGTAGATCATACTTCTTTTTTTGTATACTTATTGATTCAACTATTAGTTCCTTATTGATTTATAATTTTAGGCCGCTGCTCATGCATTACATCATGAAACACGATTATGGTCTAGTCGAGATAATGAATTAATTGCAGCAACTAAACGTATGGCTGCTTTAATGGCTCAATTAAGTCAAATTGTTCGGTAAGTATTTTAATTTTATCAATTCAATTTGGTTATCTGTATACATGTTGTCATGGATTCTTTATACATATAGATTGATGTTCTTTTGTTAATTCAATTGAATAGTTGGAGTGGAAAAAAACGTACTATCTAAATTTAGTTCCGATCGTTGTTGCTACTTTGACGTGGTGGTCGGGCTTGTCTATCGTGATGAAGCAACCGAGCTATACTGGCTGGAACAACCATTCCTAAAGGTCCTACCATGTCAGACAGGTCGGTTAAAGAACGGCAAGACTAAAAGTAGCAAACCCAATGTCTGAAGGCGAAGTCGTACTGCTAATTGTACAGAAGTGTGACAGTAGTAAGGTGTTCCCTTTAGACAACCAGCATAACAGCGATGATGCTTTCCCATAAGGAGGAGTGAGGTTATAAAAGGTCGATTCTAAAAATGCACACCTCCCCTTATCCCATGGATATCCGTCTCCGGCGGTAAGGTCTCAACAAGTACGGAGCTAACACGAAAATAACCCATAAAAAGGTCGTGTATGACTAACCTCAAGCAGTTATCCCTTGGACACTGCGGTCACGCTTTCAAGTCACTAAGACCACCTCTAACCCAATTTCTTTTTCAGGTACCTCTAGAAGAACCCTTCCATGGTGTGCGTAACCGCGAAGTGGTAATCACCCTCATACCT